CAAATTTAAAATTAATTTACACAGTACAAATATAAAAAGGAAAATAGAGAGGAAAGCATGTGTTAAAATTAAAAAAAAAAGCGATAAAAATTTACACACACCCACACACGCAAAACACTATATTTTCTAAAAGTACAAAAACATTCCTGTATCGATAAATATAAAAAGCTGTAAAAAATTTTATCGGTGCAGCGCATAATATTTATATTGTTCAAGTTTGCGCCTGTTCAGTCGTTTGCTTTTTCGTTATTTACATGATAAAAGATATTTTCGATAACAAACAGCGAAATGCATACAAATACATGCAATTTTCATAACTGTTAAAAAATTTCAACTACGACGGAAAAACAACATCTTAAATCCGGCAAGAAATAGTATGGGCGGGAAAAAACAGAGATGAATCTTATATAGAATCCACTGCCAAGTTTAATCGACGCCGTGGTATCTCGGGACGGTATTCGATTCCCGGATTCCTGGTTAGGGATGCTGTGCGCGGAGGGAGAGAGCGGGTAAGAGAAAGAGAGAGAGAGAGAGAGAGAGAGAGAGAGAAAAGAGAGAAAAGGAGGGTGCGGGAGAGGGAGCGTGCGCAACGACGACGATAAAACGGAGAGGGATACACGCTTGCGCCAGGAATATCACCCTCATCTCCTCGCACATTGCACCCTCGTGAGGGGACGAGAGAGCGGGGCGTGTGCGAGGATAGATGGCAGGGCGTCTCTCCCGGGCAGCGCAGGGCCGCGCAAAGCCGCGTTGCACGCACTGTCAGTTCTGTTCAGTTTCGCTCGGATATCCGTGCAACGAGTGACCTTCGTGCTGATCGGGCCGTCAACGTCTGCCGATAGTTATCCGAGATCATTCCCTTATCGAGAGAATTGGCCGCGTGTCGAGACCGGCGTCCGCACGATCGGCGTCGCGACGCGCCGAGACACGCCTGTTATCACGATGGGAAAAAAGGATGCGTGGTTCATTTACGACATGTTCGTTTTTTCTCGGCGGGATTGACTCCTGTCATCTTTAATGTCGATTCTCGATATTATTCCACCGTAAAATTGCAGGAGAATTAAATAGAGCGTGTAAGAGACAGTGAGTTTTGAGATTCGAATTTTATGTTTATACCGCGAGAGAGAGATCCGAAGATATGTTGATTTCGTATTTTGATTGATATGACGAACGCGATGATCAAACGGGCGATTTCATCGAGGATGCGGTAAGACGTGGGCCGCAAAGGGACGAGGGAGAGACAAAGATCCGGAAGGATGCACGTATATCACGCCCCGCCGGTGCTTTTCAATTACGCGAATCTAGATCGCGAGGCTGTTAGCAAATTAAGCGGGCTTGAGAGAGGACTATGCGGGTTGAACGCGATATAGAAAGAGGAGAACAACGACCGGCACGGCCGTCGCGATGAGCAATCGTCTTGCTATAAATTCGCATTTACAAAGTAGAGACGTAACGGTGCCATGGAGCGTAGAGGCAAGAAAGACCGGAAACCGTCGATTTATTCGATAAACTTGTCTTGATTTCGTTTTCCGGCAATTTCGTTGTGCAAAAGTACGCGGAATTCGCGCGCGGGCAGTTTTTTCTACGGCCTGCAAAAGTATTCATCCTTCGCTCGAGGATCACTCGAGATCGAGTATAACAGCACACGAGGAAGAAATCGATCAGCACTCCGAAATGACTATGAGAGATAAAAAATGAGGTGCCTAATCTTAACCCTCGGTCTGCTGGTTTCGGGTGAGTCAAATAAATCGCTCTCGACACCGACAATAGGCGCCAAATCTGTTCCTAACGCACAATTGTAGCGAAAGAAACGGTGTTAGAAAAATACGATCGTATAAATATCCAGCCACTCTCCAAACTATAGGATGAATGTACTTGTAAATGTTAGATGTCTCAATTTTATATTTGATTGCCAAATGAAAATTTCATCCGACAATTACGCTTCAAATATCACGATCAATTATATTTATACAATATTCGCACGTATATATTTTGAGCCAAAAAATTCTCTCGGGTTTTATATAGACTAGTTTTACATTTTTTACACGTGGTTTCGCGGAATAATGGTTCGAGAGAGTGATATCAAAAAATTTAAAACTCGAATATCATTTATTTATATGAAAAATTAGAAGAAAAATATCAAACTTGATAAAATTATTGGGAAACGACCAGTAATTCATTTAAATAATTATTTCAATTTACAATTAGGTAAATAAAAAGTTTATAATATCACATAAATATCTGCGCACTTTTTAAAAATATATGTATTACTTTGTACAATCGTAGAAATAAATATTGATAGTCATTACCCTAATAAGTGGTAAACAGTTCTTGACTGTTGCATCGTCGTACTTGTTTCGAGAAAAGCTTCTGATTCGATTAAAATACGAAATACCGACGGTAAAATTAATTTTACGATTCCGAACAAACGAACGTACAAACGTAAACTGTTTTTCTTTTTAAAGCGGGTTAATGACTTTACGCGAAGCACGTTCAGATAGAGCGGCGCGTAAACTGCATTTTTATGTCGCGATACGCGTTGAATATTTGCCCTTTTCGTGAGAAATCACGCGGTTTAATATTCTATATCTGACGGAGTGGGGGATACTGACATTATATTATAGTGGATTTAGTTAGCTTCCAAACTTAGTCTTAACTTTCTAATAACTTAGTCTTAACATTAGCTTTGTTCAAAATATGAGTTTATACAGCAATTAACCCGAAACTCCATGTATAGCTATAATGTAAAGAGACAAGGTCTAATATTGCGCATAATAGCACAAAGCACAAAAAATAATCTAAAATGCAAGTATATAAATTTTAACTTTTTCTGTACAATATATTAAGAATACTCTTTAATGCATTTGTGTGTATTTTTACATATAATAAATAATTGTGTGTAAAATACTATGACCTGTAATTAATATTTATATTTTCCTCTCTGTCAAAGAGAGAAAGAAGGAAATAGAAAGATATAAATGTTATGATATATTTTTAATAGTAATATAATCTTTCTGTGTTGCAAGAAGTATCGATTAGATAAGGATATTTAGTATAAATAATAAAATATATAAATGTTGTATAAATAATAATATAATGATATTATATTATTTATACAAAAAAATTATGTATAAATAATAAGTTTTAATTAAAATGTAATCATTTTTCAGATAGTACGTGTATGTATGAAATGCAGAACAATATCACAGCTCTTTTGCAAAATATTATTCTGCATTTCGTACACACGCATACGAAATACGTTTCGTGATATTACAGCTCTTTCACAAAATATTGTTCTGCATTTTGTACATGCGCGTACAACTTGAAAAAATGATTATATTTTAATTAAAACTTGTTACTTATACATAATTTTTTTTTGTGCCTGAATATTCTTATCTAATCTATACTTCTTGCAACACAGAAAGATTATGTTGCTAAAATTATATTGTTTCAAACCATATAATTTTGATTATTTTCACTTCAACGACTTCAATGATTTTTGCCTTTAGCTTAACTTGACCTCAGTGTTCATTCAACAGTAAGCATACCATAAAGCTCTATATTGAATTTTTACACTTTGAACACAAATTTCATCGGCTTGCAAAAGCTAATTTGACGAGTACGCATCTTTTAACTAAACTGCTATGTTTTATATGCTTTGAGTCATATCATTGTTTCAAAGTGAAGATAAAATTAAAAGATGAAGTATCTTTGTTTCCAAATTATTTTCAGAATTAAGGTTAATGTTTCTTGAGATGATGTGAACGCGCGCGTTCTTACGACATGTCTAACATTAATAGCTTTAGTCTTAGCATAAAATTAAATTAAGATCAAGTCTAAGACTGACTGCATCTCTAGTTAGTTGCAAAATGAATCGAGTTTATACATGAATAAGAAGCGCACGAAGAAAATTAAATTCACCGTACATGACTGTAAGAGTAACTGTAAAGCACGAAGAAAACATAGCAGGGAGAGGATGGAAATACTGATATGTATTTTAACGTGGGTTATGCGGGACAGCGCAAATCCCACGGAAGCGCGGTGAGGTAAATATTTACTCGCACAATTACCTGCATCCCTTTAAGGTTACTCTTTTGGAGTCGCATTTATTTTTAACGCACCCTTCTCTGACGACGGTTTTATCGGATTTGGAAACTGTATGGCCGATATCGCGAACAGAACTTCCTTTTCGGAAAAAAGGGTGTGCATATATTCTGCATCCCATGCATCTCGTTTGTTATGTATAAGAAGCTCTTTCACGTTGTTACACATTTTCGCTATTAATGTTACGAAGGGTATACTCGACGCCAAGTAGGCGCTTATATAGAAATGTCTACATGTATACGGAGTATATATATGTTCAACTAAAGTTACAAACTTTCCTCTGAACGATGGGCGATTCACAATGTTAGAGAAGTTGATAAACGAATAATGGAGAGTTCACGCTGCCAATTTATGATTTTGCTATTTCACAGCTATTTACAGATATAAGCATGTTATGCTATTCCGGTATATTGAATCAGAATACACAATCGTGTTTACAGTCAAATGTTAAACATTCGATGTTCCGTACAAAGCGCGAGAGCACTTTCAGGAGCACAAATACATAAATATGCGTTTATTAATATTCAAAATATATATGAGCTGCTTTTATAAACTTTTAAACTTTCTAAAATTGAAAAAGAAAGAAATTTAAGAAACTTTTAAGGGGAGAAAGGTAAAGAAAACTTTTAAATATAAAACATGTGGTAGAGAAAATATCTTATTTGATAAAAGACTAAAGCTACTGGAAGTTCAAATGCAAAATAAATCAGAAGGAAAAATGAGAGATAAAAGCAACATGAAATATCACTAAGAAATAAAGAATTCTTGAGTTGTATAATAAAAGATTTGGCACAAATTAAGTTTTAAACACGTAATTGAGTAATGAAATATTATTTATCGTTTAATTTAAGTACATTTTAATTTAAAAAGAATTTTAATTTTAGGTTTTAGATATGTTGATTTCGTATTTTGATTGATATGACGAACGCGATGATCAAACGGGCGATTTCATCGAGGATGCGGTAAGACGTGGGCCGCAAAGGGACGAGGGAGAGACAAAGATCCGGAAGGATGCACGTATATCACGCCCCGCCGGTGCTTTTCAATTACGCGAATCTAGATCGCGAGGCTGTTAGCAAATTAAGCGGGCTTGAGAGAGGACTATGCGGGTTGAACGCGATATAGAAAGAGGAGAACAACGACCGGCACGGCCGTCGCGATGAGCAATCGTCTTGCTATAAATTCGCATTTACAAAGTAGAGACGTAACGGTGCCATGGAGCGTAGAGGCAAGAAAGACCGGAAACCGTCGATTTATTCGATAAACTTGTCTTGATTTCGTTTTCCGGCAATTTCGTTGTGCAAAAGTACGCGGAATTCGCGCGCGGGCAGTTTTTTCTACGGCCTGCAAAAGTATTCATCCTTCGCTCGAGGATCACTCGAGATCGAGTATAACAGCACACGAGGAAGAAATCGATCAGCACTCCGAAATGACTATGAGAGATAAAAAATGAGGTGCCTAATCTTAACCCTCGGTCTGCTGGTTTCGGGTGAGTCAAATAAATCGCTCTCGACACCGACAACAGGCGCCAAATCTGTCCCTAACGCACAATTGTAGCGAAAGAAACGGTGTTAGAAAAATACGATCGTATAAATATCCAGCCACTCTCCAAACTATAGGATGAATGTACTTGTAAATGTTAGATGTCTCAATTTTATATTTGATTGCCAAATGAAAATTTCATCCGACAATTACGCTTCAAATATCACGATCAATTATATTTATACAATATTCGCACGTATATATTTTGAGCCAAAAAATTCTCTCGGGTTTCATATAGACTAGTTTTACATTTTTTTACACGTGGTTTCGCGGAATAATGGTTCGAGAGAGTGATATCAAAAAATTTAAAACTCGAATATCATTTATTTATATGAAAAATTAGAAGAAAAATATCAAACTTGATAAAATTATTGGGAAACGACCAGTAATTCATTTAAATAATTATTTCAATTTACAATTAGGTAAATAAAAAGTTTATAATATCACATAAATATCTGCGCACTTTTTAAAAATATATGTATTACTTTGTACAATCGTAGAAATAAATATTGATAGTCATTACCCTAATAAGTGGTAAACAGTTCTTGACTGTTGCATCGTCGTACTTGTTTCGAGAAAAGCTTCTGATTCGATTAAAATACGAAATACCGACGGTAAAATTAATTTTACGATTCCGAACAAACGAACGTACAAACGTAAACTGTTTTTCTTTTTAAAGCGGGTTAATGACTTTACGCGAAGCACGTTCAGATAGAGCGGCGCGTAAACTGCATTTTTATGTCGCGATACGCGTTGAATATTTGCCCTTTTCGTGAGAAATCACGCGGTTTAATATTCTATATCTGACGGAGTGGGGGATACTGACATTATATTATAGTGGATTTAGTTAGCTTCCAAACTTAGTCTTAACTTTCTAATAACTTAGTCTTAACATTAGCTTTGTTCAAAATATGAGTTTATACAGCAATTAACCCGAAACTCCATGTATAGCTATAATGTAAAGAGACAAGGTCTAATATTGCGCATAATAGCACAAAGCACAAAAAATAATCTAAAATGCAAGTATATAAATTTTAACTTTTTCTGTACAATATATTAAGAATACTCTTTAATGCATTTGTGTGTATTTTTACATATAATAAATAATTGTGTGTAAAATACTATGACCTGTAATTAATATTTATATTTTCCTCTCTGTCAAAGAGAGAAAGAAGGAAATAGAAAGATATAAATGTTATGATATATTTTTAATAGTAATATAATCTTTCTGTGTTGCAAGAAGTATCGATTAGATAAGGATATTTAGTATAAATAATAAAATATATAAATGTTGTATAAATAATAATATAATGATATTATATTATTTATACAAAAAAATTATGTATAAATAATAAGTTTTAATTAAAATGTAATCATTTTTCAGATAGTACGTGTATGTATGAAATGCAGAACAATATCACAGCTCTTTTGCAAAATATTATTCTGCATTTCGTACACACGCATACGAAATACGTTTCGTGATATTACAGCTCTTTCACAAAATATTGTTCTGCATTTTGTACATGCGCGTACAACTTGAAAAAATGATTATATTTTAATTAAAACTTGTTACTTATACATAATTTTTTTTTGTGCCTGAATATTCTTATCTAATCTATACTTCTTGCAACACAGAAAGATTATGTTGCTAAAATTATATTGTTTCAAACCATATAATTTTGATTATTTTCACTTCAACGACTTCAATGATTTTTGCCTTTAGCTTAACTTGACCTCAGTGTTCATTCAACAGTAAGCATACCATAAAGCTCTATATTGAATTTTTACACTTTGAACACAAATTTCATCGGCTTGCAAAAGCTAATTTGACGAGTACGCATCTTTTAACTAAACTGCTATGTTTTATATGCTTTGAGTCATATCATTGTTTCAAAGTGAAGATAAAATTAAAAGATGAAGTATCTTTGTTTCCAAATTATTTTCAGAATTAAGGTTAATGTTTCTTGAGATGATGTGAACGCGCGCGTTCTTACGACATGTCTAACATTAATAGCTTTAGTCTTAGCATAAAATTAAATTAAGATCAAGGAGAAATATGATATCTTGTCTTGACATTTTTAGAAAGGAAAAATCGATTTTAAATTTTACGAGAAATAATTCTGTATACATCCATTTCCTGCTAATGTTAGGGAAGACTATAGAATCAAGCAAAAATAAAAATGAGCGTGTGATTCTATTATATCATTTTCCGATAATATTGCTTGTCAGAAGTAGATATTTTTGCACATTCTCTATCTCTAATAGTTATTCTTTTTTTAGCAAGCAAGACGTTCCCTTTTTCAAGCAAAATGTCCTCATTTTTTAACTGCCATCGTCTTGCAGATTCTAATAGCCTTCCCTTGGTTATATAAGAAAAAAGACGTTTTTACAAAAAATTATACTCATAACGGTGCTAAAAAATTGCAGAGGAGATACTTGATAAAAAAATGTAGGTTCTATATTATTTTATGGTTTTGTCTTATCATAAAACACCTCCTAAGTAACTGAGGGATCTTAAAGGTTAATTACATTCTGCGGCGATTTAGATTCGTCGCAACTAATAAAATATTTATGAAAGATTATTCAATTACGTATATGCGCAAAACTGTTGCATAAAATATACGAATAATTTGTTCATATATGGGCACAACACGTTTAATTTTATGTTATCGTGCAACAGGGAGCGAACAATAAGAATTAAAGGACATCGTTAACCCGAAAATAATACGGCTTTTTATAACGTAAACTACCGCATGAGATATATTATATACTCTATTAATAAATCGTTTTTGTTTATTACACAATACATATAAAGTCCCAAGCAACACAAGGGTTAGAAAATGTTTAAAAAATATAAAAAACATTTAAAAATTAAAACTTCTTTTAAAAATTTATTTAAATAATGATTTTTTCTTTTGACCGTATTAAGAAGACATTGAAATCCAATACTTCGATTTGGAAGTAATTCGTTCAATTAACTGGAAAGTGACTTCCAATGCATTCGAGAAAGAATAGAATGATGATAATTATTTCTTTGAACGGTGTAAATTACATTTCGCTCTATATTAAAAGATGCATTTAGCCTCGCTAAGATATAGTATTGTGTTTGTTTAAAGTGCAAGGACCTACCCGTTGCACGGCCGATCGTAGGATACACGAGGATCGCGCATCGGAGCCGCTCGATCGAGGGCCATATTTTGATGTCTCTGTCTCTCGCAACGTGACAGCCCTCGTCGGCCAAACGGCAACGCTGAAGTGTCGAGTGCGAAATTTAGGTGACCGAACGGTATGTAACATGTCCTCTTTATTTTATAAAAAGTAATTTCTATTTCTGTAAAAGAGAGAGAGAGAAAGAAAATAACGCAATGACGTGTATATGTATATATATATATATGTAACTCGCTTTTCTATCTCAATATCAAGTACGCGTGTGTTGTGCGTCACTGTGATAATTGAGAGAAAATTTATTTAAATTTGAATGCAGCTCGTTTATCTCTACATTAATACTATTACTATTCTTTTCAGGATAGAATCAGTAAAAAGATTAAGAGAATACAGAAGAGAATAATAACATAACTATATTCGATAATATTATAATAACGATTCATTCTCATACCGTTTCAACGTATTCATTCGCACCCCGTTTCGTATATTTCTCTCTCTCTCTCTCTCTCTCTCTCTCTCTCTCTCAATGTAGTTTTATATTCCAATAATATTATCTCGCACGCGTTATACTAATAAAGTTGCATATAATGCGATTTTAGTAATATTATAAGTTTTGCGCGCATAGAACATATAGATAAGTATCGATAAAGAGAGTTTTCTCTTTCTCCGTTTCCTAAAGTTTATTTTAACTTTTTAAAGAATTTGTGAGAGAGGGAGAGAGAGAGAGAGAGTGTGTGTATGATGAAGTTTTACGAGATATTCCTTCAGCACACTCAAATCCTTGCAATATCGAAGAAATGTTCAATTTTAGTCGCATAATATGCATTGCCGTTTGTGAGTACCACTTTCATCTCTGGTATATCGAAATTGACTGTCAGTGCTAAAAATATTTCTTAACAGTAATATTCTTGAAGTAAGCCAGCAACTTTTGCCAGAAATAAATTGATTCGAAGCGCACATAGTTCAGTTTTAGACACTAAAACTCTGGACGTTAAAGTTTAGACGTTAAAATTTGATCCATTAGATATACGCAACTTTTTTTTATGTATACGTATTATGTAACTTAATATGGATAGGATAAAGAAAAAAAATATATAACGAAAAAATATCGCAAGAGATAAATATGAAAGTACACTATTTGTATCATAATATCATTATTTATAGAAGTTTATGAATAGATTATAAAGAGGAAAGGTTGAAGAAAATGACTATCGATGTCGTGAAACTTATACGAGCTATGAAACTCGATTAGTTTTAAACTTGACACGCAGTTTTATATCCTTGTTGTATACGGTGTTTGTTTTTTCTGTGTATGTTGCCACATGTATAATAAAGTTAACTCATCATGAGACACTTATATGAAGAAGTGGAACATCGCAGACGAGGATAGTCAAGAGAGTTGTATAAAAGAGCGTTGTATATCTCTTTTTCTGTTTTTTCTTCTTTTTTTTTTTTAAGTCCAGCTTATGCGCCAGTACGCTTGAGAGAAATTTTAGCAAAAAAGCACAC